CGGACTGCGGTGCCGCTCGGACGTTCCAAGGCAGGGGTCCGGCAGTCCGGATGGTCATCCGGGGGCCGGCCGGACGTATTCCGGGACGGGGTCCGGCGACATCGGTGAGCCATTGTATCTAGGTTCACCAGAGTGCCACATTACACTAGGGGCACACCAGCTCATATCGTAATCCCGTGGTCATGTTTCGCGGGACCGGGGGCCTTGCTTTAACCGCCCGGGTCATGAGGAAGAAAACCTCTATAAAAAATCACCCCAATCTAAGCTGTGTTACGTGGCGAGAGGTAATGGCACAGGGGGAGCTGTGTCGTTGGCGAACAACCCAGTGGGCAACTGGCGCACCCACTGTGGCTTCAGCTTTACCTCCGGAAAGAGCGTCACCCGGAGGCGGACTTATGACTCGTTCCGACTCGTGGGAATAGTATGGATGGTTCAAAATTAATTAAACAAACAACTCCTACCGGCTCAGCCATTGACAGGGCCCGACGAAGCAGCGGCTTAGTCTCTACCGCAGTGGAGTCGTTAAATTTACAGGGACGAGATTGCCACGACAAAACCAAAGTGGCATGAAATGAAAGTGACAAAAAATTACCATCCGTAATGTCGGTCTTAGCCCGGGAGAGTTATGTCTCGCTGGGTACGAGAGTCACGTCTGTCACCGACATGAGGACGTCCAAAATGCCAACTATGGACGCCTCCAGGAAAAAGCCAAGCACAGTTATTGACACCTCGTCTAAGGAGTCCGACTCGGACACGCTGGGTAATCCGGTGTCCGAGGAGGAGGTACAATTTCGAGGAAGAGGAAGATTGGCAAAAAACTCCGACCACGTGGAGAAATTTACTGCCGCTGAGCGCCTGAGGAGAAAGAAAAAGCGGAGGGAAATCGCTGAACACATTGCGACGTTGGAGGCTGACAATACCGATGTTGAGGTCAGCGACAATCGAAGAAATAGAGAGGCAAAAGCGAAGGAGTTTGAACTCTCAGACCACTATAGAGAACTGCCTGCTCTGGACGTCAACGCTATAATCATGGAGCAGGTCAATAAAATAAGAAAAGTCGTTCATAAGTCTAATAACATAAAAGGCGACCTAAAGGGCCTTTTATATAAGGCCTCCGAAAAGATTGGGGGAGCCAACATACCGTTGGTCAAAAGACTGCAAGAAAAAACAGCTACTGATGCGGAAGAATTAAGAAACGAACTCCTTCTAGCACGACGAGATAACGCATCTCTGAAACAGGAGATCGAAGACTTAAGGAGAAGGATGGAGGAAATGAGAGTCCCCTCTCTCTCTTCCCCCCTTCCAAAAATGCCATTGCCTCCTGTATCATCGGGGGGACATGACACCGTGACGCCAACGCCGGAAGTGCTCTTCTCCCGTCTTAAATGAGAGGAACAACACCCTCTCCCCCCTCCCCCTTTGAATCCCATAGGCCCCTCCGCCATGGAAGTAGAAGAGCGGGATAGGAGGATAAGGGAAGACTTTCCGACACTAAGATCCCCGATTAAGGGGGTCAGGAAGAACTTAGACCCCAAGACACCATCCACTCGGAAGGTCACAATTGACGTAGAGGAACTTGGCACCCTCATTGCCAAAATCATCCCCCGCGTCCTAAAAGACATGGGATATGCCCCTAGAGGCCAACCCCCGGCACGGGCACTTCCCGCCCCGGCGCCCAAATCCTCAAAGGTCAAGTCTAAGGGGAAGAAGGGCGCCGAGGAGGAAAGTAAGGAAGTACAGGTGACTCTGAGACCTCCTGCCTCCCCCCATTACTCGCACCCAATCGCCGGGTTCAACCGAGAGGGCGGCCAAGACAGTGGCTATGGAACATATAGCCTTAACACAGGCTTTGGGAATTAGCACCAAGCAAACCACGCATCCGCCCTCAAAGGGCACGTGGAGCAAGGTGGTGGGGAGGAAAGAGAGAAGGACTGCAAACAAGACGCAGCAACTCTCTTCTACTGGAGGAAAAAAGTCCTTTAACGTTAAGGACACACAACATCCTCCTCCAAGTTCTTCTGCCAAAAAGGGGAACAATAATAATAAAAGGAAGAGAAAGAAGAGGATAATACCCAAGACGGCGGCTGTGGCTATAACTTGCCCTGAGGGTAAATATACGGAGGTTATGATCATGACAAAGAAAAAAGTCCCTAGTTCAGAACTGGCGACTATGAGGATTTCAGAAATCCGAGCACGGCGTGCAGTTACTGGTGCGCTAATTCTGAAAATCCCAAGTGAGGACAACGCCCGGAGGGCGGATCTACTTGCCGCCAAAATGCGGGATGCGGTAGATGATATGGTGAGAGTAAAAGTAGCCCGCCCCACAAAGAAAGCGGAAGTGCGTCTTCGAGATCTCGACGACACTGTTGAATCTGAGGATGTGGTTGCGGCCATTGTGGCCGCGACGGGATGTGACCCGCCAGAAATATAGGCGGGGGAGATAAGCCGTGCCTCCGGCCAGTTGGGCACCGCGATTGTGCGTTGTCCGGTGGCGGCAGCAAACGCGGTGGTCACTCTTGAACGTATCCAGGTGAGATACACAAAGGCAAGGGTGGGAATGTTGGAGGCTAGGCCCCTCCAATGTTTCCACTGCTTGGAAAAGGGTCACGTCCGGCAGCGGTGCACGAATCCCGTCGACAGGAGTGGGGCGTGCTATCGCTGCGGACAAATGGGACACTCCGCCAAGCAATACAAAGGTAGAACGGAGTGCCCTGCGTGTAAGGCGGCTGGGAAATCCTCTGATTACAAAATCGGGGATCCCAGTTGTAGAGCCACTTCCAAGGGGGAGGGGGCATTTCGCAAGAGGGCGGACAGTGTGGCGGCTGCCCAACCCTCCGGGAAAAGCGGAGGAAACAAAATCGGGGAAACAGCCGGCGGTGGGGGGTCAAAAAACAAGAAAAATATCCCCCAGCCACTTAAGGAGCATATGGTTCCTCTCCCCTCCGGGGATGGGGAACCAATGGAGGTTTGCCCGGAAGAGGCCACCACGTCAATGGCCAAGTAATGGCTACGTGGCTCCTTCAGGCGAACCTGAACCACGCCCGCTACGCACAGGACTTATTCGTCCATACCATGGCGGAGCGTGGTATAGGATTGGGCGTTGCTGCCGAGCCGTACAACGTGCCTGATCACCCATGTTGGGTGGCGGATCGTCTCGGCTCGATGGCGATACATTGGAGGGCGTTTGATGCCTCGCCCCCTGCCTCTTTTGTCGAGGCAGGGAACGGTTTCGTGGCAGTGGAGTGGGGGGCCATAGTCGTCGTTGGGTGCTATTGCCCGCCGAGCCTATCATTGGCCCAGTTCGAGGACTACCTCGACGGGCTGGAGGAGTGAATACGCCGGTGCCTCCCTCGGCCTGTCATGGTCGCCGGGGACCTCAATGCCAAGTCAGCAACGTGGGGTTCCCGAAAGACCCGAATGTTAGAGGTGGTACTTGGACGATTGGTTGGCGGGCATGGGCCTCTGTTGTCTCAACAGGGGCTCGGCCAGTACCTGCATCCGATGGCAGAGGGAGTCAGTAATTGATGTCATCTTTGCGAGCCCTCCTGCTGCCGGACTGGTAATGGGATGGAGGGTGACTCAGGAACTGGAGACGGGCTCCGATCACTTATATATAGTGGTCGGGATCCGGGCCGCTCCGCCCGAGGTGCTGGCCAGACAAAAAAGGCACCAACGCACTCTGCGACGGTGGGCCCTCACAAAAATTGAGGAGGATGCCCTGAGGGCTGCCGTCCTGGCGGGTACCTGGCCCGGTCAAACACGGGTCGGGATAGATGATGAGGCGGACTGGATCGGGGATATCATGGAAAGAGCATGCGATGCGTCCATGCCCCGGTCTAGGCCGCACCCCCGGCGGGTCGCATACTGGTGGACCGACGAGATCGCTGACCTGCGGCGACTCGCGGTCCGCCGGAGAAGGAAGTTCACTCGGGCCCGCAACAGGGGGAATCCCGTCAGGACTGGAGAAGCGTACGAGGCATTTCGTGTGGCCCGGGCCTCCCTAAAGGCGGCCATTAGGGCTGCGAAGGCTGGGGCCTGGGAGGAGCTAGTCTCCTCCCTGGACCGGGACCCATGAGGGCGTCCATACAAAATAGTAATGAAAAAACTCAGGCACGGGACGTCCCCAGTCGCGGAGGGCATGGACCCCGAGTTCCTGGATGAAGTGGTGGGGACCTTGTTTCCGATGGAACAGTGCACGGTCCTCCCCTATGTAGGTTCGCCCGAAGGCTAGGCGGAGGAGCTCGGGGTAACTGAGGGCGAGATGCTCTCCGCGACTAAAAGGTTTGGGGGCAAAAACAAAGCCCCTGGACCAGATGGAATCCCGGGTAGAGTGTGGGCCCTTGCCTTTGGAGGAATAGGCGGCCGGCTGAGACAGCTATTCACGTGCTGTCTCAGAGCTGGCCGCTTCCCCTCCCGATGGAAGAGAGCCAACTTGGTCCTTCTTCGGAAAGAGGGGAAACCTGAGGACTCCCCATCCGCATACAGGCCCATTTGCCTGCTGGACGAGGCGGAAAAGCTGTTCGAGCGGATAATCGCCGCCCGTCTCGTTCGGCACCTGTCCCTGGACGGTCCCAACTTATCGGGGGATCAGTTTGGATTCCAGGAGGGCCGATCCACAATTGACGCGATTCAGCGCGTTCGGGCCCTCTCGGACCAAATCGTTGGTGGGGGGGGGTGACGGTGGTGGTGTCTTTGGACATCGTCAACGCATTTAACTTTCTCCCCTGGGAAAGGATTGGGGAGGCGATGAATTATCATCGCCTTCCCCCATATATGAAGGAGATCATCTGGGACTACTTCAGGGACAGGACGATCGGGTTCCGCGACAAAATGGGACTCGATCGCGGGCGGGGAGTATATTGCGGGGTCCCGCAGGGGTCGGTGCTTGGGCCGCTCCTGTGGGACCTGGCATATGATAGGGTGCTTCGCACGGCGCTCCCCCCTGACTGTCACGTTGTGTGTTACGCGGATACGTTGGTGGTGGCTGGGGGGATGACTGGGATGGGGCGCTGGTCATGGCCAATATGGCTGTGGCTAGCGTCGCAAGAGCGATCACGGCGATGGGGCGCCACCTCCAGCCCCATCGCCGTGATCAAAACGGAAGCAATATTCCTGTATAAGAGAAGACGTGGGGTGCCGCCTCCGGAATTCGTGCGGATAGGGTCGGCCCGCGTTAGGGTGGGACCGAACCTAAAATATCTCGGTCTCACCCTGGATGGACATTGGGGGTTCGAGACTCATTTTAGGTCTCTGACGCCCAAGTTGGGTAGGATGAACGCGCTATGTCGTCTCCTGGCCAACCTCGGTGGTCCGGGCGCCGCTGTGCGGCGCCTATGTGTGAACACCGTCCTGTCGGTGCTCCTGTATGGGGCACCGGTTTGGGCGACCGCAATGGCGGCCAGCCGCCGCATAAGGGCGGTGGCAAACGCGGTTCAGCGCCGTATGGCCGCCAGGGTTGCCCGTGCATATAGGACGGTATCACACGCGGCGGTCACGTTCCTCGCTGAGGTCCCTCCTGTGGATCTCATGGCCCTGGAGCGCGCTGAAGTCTATCGGCGCACCAGGGCGCTGAGGAGAGAGAGGATAGTCTCCGCGGCGAGGGCTGTGATAATGATTAGGAGGGAGGAACGCGAGGGAGGAACGCGACTCGGGTCATGCTGCAATGGCAGCAGAGGTTGAAGGATCCGGGCGTGTTTGGCCGCTGGACCACCGAGGCCATCCGGCCTCTTCTCACAGAGTGGGTGTGAAGGGGC